GGGTCATCTGTGGACACTGCAAGAATACTTTCCTGGTGAGGAGGAGTTTTGGGAAGCCTTGGACGGAGAGAGAGAAATAGAAGTAATGGTGAACGTATTTCTGAGTTATAATAATGAGTTCTTAGGAGGTCTGCTCTTTCTCATCTGTTCCCATTTCCTGCCCTCCCCTGCCACTGGGCCTTCACTGGACGTGACTCTGCTTCTATTAATTGGCTTCCCCTTTTTTTTGTTCTCCATAGTGGACAGAGTTCACAGACCGAACCTTGGCCCGTTGCCCTCACTGCAGGAAAGTGTAAGTGATTGGAGAGTGACATTGCTGAACTAGCGGCTGTGTAACATGTGAACAGGTACAGGACAACCTGCAGGGCTGTGGCAAGCGTCCATTTGTTTGCCTCCCCACAGGTCATCTATTGGGCGCAGATATCCACGAAAGAGATGTATCTGCTGTTTCTTGCTTGGCTTACTCTTGGCCGTCACTGCCACTGGCCTTGCTGTGAGTAACCTTGACCCAACCCGTTTCATTCTTCGGCCTCCTCCCTGTAGCGTAAGATTTGGGAAACGGCTACCCTAAAAAAAGTGAAAGAAACGGAGTTTTGGTGGTTTTATCTTGTTTTAACGTGTAGGTGAGCTGAAATTGGCAGGTAAGTGATAAACTTGACTATTACTATAGGAGTAAAAGCTAGGGACGCCTGGGTGGGTCAGCAGTTGAGCATCTGCCTTTGGCCCAGTGTGTGATCCTGGAGTTCCTGGATCGAGTCCCACGTCAGGCTCCCTGCATGGAGCCTGTTTCTCCCTCTGCCTATGTCTCTGCCTCTCTGTGTCTCTCATGAATAAATAAATAAAATATTTTTTAAAAAAGGAGTAAAAGCCAGCTGTCTTCTTTGTGCAGAAGATAGGGCAGTAGAGACGTGGGTTAAGAGTTGCTCACTTGTCAGATGCTAAGAAGAACTGATAGGTGTCTGGGATTGTATCCGGGACTTACATTAAGTCCCAGACACCCAGGGACTTACATTATCTTTGTAGAGGAGGGAGCAACAACTGGGTTTTTAAGGAGGTCCCTCGAAGGTGGATACACATGGATAGGGAACCAGGGATTGAAGTTTCCATCCTCTTAACCAGTGTTTCTAGAAAGTGGTGAGAGAGCAACAGTAATTCCATCTCCCTCCTCCTTCTTCAGTTTGGCACGTGGAAGCACGCACGGCGATATGGAGGCATCTACGCGTCCTGGGCGTTCGTCATCCTGTTGGCTGTGCTGTGTTTGGGCCGGGCCCTCTACTGGGCCTGTATGAAGGTCAGCCACCCTGTCCAGAACTTCTCCTGAGCTCCACGATGACCCACAGACTGTGCCTGGCTCCTCCCTGGTGGGGACAGTGACACTACAAAGGGAACCATGGTCAAAGGCTCCCTCAGCCTCTATGAGGGGAGCCAAGCAGCTGCCTTCCTTTTCCCTGGGGAGAGGTAGGAAGGAACCAGGCCCTCACCTAGGTTTGGAGGGGTGGAGAAGACCACTGCTGGCCATCTGCTTTCCTCCAAGGGCTGCTGTGTTTAGGGTGTAGCAGGCAGGACATTGCCCCTAAACCTGGGTCTTAAAAGAGGGTCCTAGCCTTGTCCTTCCTAATATGCTCCCTGAGAGCCATTCCTGTCCCTTAAACATTCCAGGGCAGGGTGGGGGTGGGTAGCCCTGGGGGTTCCCTCCCTCTTGTGCACCATTAGGACCTTGCTGCTGCTATTGCACTTCACCAGGGGCTGGCTCTGGCCTCAGTACCCTCAGTCTCCTCTCCCCCCATTCCGGTGTCCTAGGGGGGTGGGGTCAGCCGCTGCTCTGTACAGAACTACAGGAACTGATGTGTATATAATTATTTAATGTGGGATACATTCCCCTAGTCCTGTTATTTCCCTTAATTCCTCCTTCCAACCTTACTCCCTAGTTGCGGTGTTGAACTGGGCTGGGTAGGGTTGCTTTGTCTTGGGGGAGGCTAGGGAGTCATCCTGTGCTTGTAAATAAAGAAGGTCGTGACTATCCTTCTCCAGTTGTTAATCTTTATATGTGAAAAGACGAAGGCACAGAACGCGAGGCTGAAACTATGGCTCTTTATTTTCATGTGGACAGTTTAAAGGAAGTCATCGGTAGCTTTTGCTTAACGTAAAAAAAGGCAAAAAATTGGGGGGTTAAAAGAAAGCATCACGAGGAGCCTAGTTGAAGGATTTGTGTTTTTAGAAGGGAAATACAGTGCAGATATTTCTAGAGAGCAGTTTTTAAAGAAGTTTGTGGAGGTTAAGTTTTAAAGCTAGCTTGGGGAGGGGGCGCTTATTTCCCAGGCTTCCAGTCATTTGGGAGCATGTCACAGCGCTAGGTATAAGGTGATAGGACAGTGGTCACTGCCCAGGGCCTTGGAACGGATCTTGCTGTCACACAAGGCAGGTAAGAGAGAGTGAGACAACAAGAAGTAGTCAAGGCGCCAACCGACATTTTTGGATCGCGCATTCATCATGTAGGTCCAAAAGGTATATGCGTAGGCTGTGTTGGGGTAGAGGTGCCGGAAACTGTCAGCCAGTGGCACAGCCTGCAGTAATTCCCCAAAGCCTTGGCGTTCTTGGGGAGTGAAGCCGGCATTCTTCTTGTTTCCCTTGGGGTTACGCAGGTCGATTTCTTCGTGAGCCACGTTGAGGTCCCCACATAGCACAAGGGGCTTGCGGGAAGCCAAGCCCTTCAGAAACTTGCGGAAGGCTTCGTCCCAGCGCTGCCGGTACTCCAAGCGCACCAGACCTCGGCCTGCGTTAGGCACATAGGCGGTCACCAGCATGAACGTGTCGAACTCGGCCACAATCACTCTGCCTTCCTGATCGTGCTCCTCCTCACCTGCACGAGGGAGGAAAGAATCAGCATTGAGAAGTTAGAAAAGGAAAAGCCAAGGGATCCCATCCCGATCAGGGGCCAGAGTGGGGTACTGGCGGTTGGTCTGGAAGAGCTCAGGGACTAGGCATCCGTGGGGTCTCACCGATGCCATAGGAGACTTTGAGCGGGCACTGGCGGGACAGCAGGCCCACACCGCTGTACCCCTCCTTGTCTGACGGAGCGGACCAGTACTGGTGGGGCAGTCCAGGTAGCTCCTGAAGTTCAGCGGGTAGTTTGTTCTCCGAACATTTGGTCTCCTGGAGGCAGAGGATATCTGGTGCCTCTTCCTTTACCCACTGTAAGCCAGACGAATAGTAGTAAAACTGTCAGTTGAGACGTTTACCGAGGACCCAGTGCCAAGTCCTAGAGCCACCGAGTCCCTACGCTTAAACGGGAAGACTAGCAAGCCCGGCACCTGGGTGCTCAGCATCTGCCATCAGCTCAGCTCAGGTGCCACGGTCCCGGGAGGGGCCCCACGTTGTCCGTCCCCTTCTACGCCCCCCACCCCTGCTTGTACGCACTCTCTCAAGTGTTTTTTTTTAAAGTCTAGTAAGCATGATATTTAAGCAGTCAAATTCGGTAACTGGCAACTAACGGAGAGAGATAAAGGACGCGGTTACAGGCAACACCGAGGAGCCTGTTTCATAGTAGATGACCACCTAAGCTGTGTAAGCAGTACTTTTAAAATATTAAGTGAACTAGAGGTGGAGCTCCAACCCCTGACGCCCAGCCGACGCAGCCCGGCACCACTACGCAGTAGTTAACTGGAGAAAACGCTGGAGATGGAACGCAGCCAGCCCAGGGAGCAGGTCTTGCAACCTGCCAGGAGGCGGAGCCATGACACCCGGCCCCTGGGACAGTCCCAACTCGGCGACGCCGCGCCTTTCAACGCTCCCACAACAAGCAAACTGCAGGCAGCAGGCGAGACCCGCCGCTGGGGCCGAAAGGGGTCGCGGCCGCGAGCCCCAATGGCGCAGAGCGCGGACGTCCTCCTCCGCGAGTCCAACTCACGTCGAGACCCTTCTTCTTGATCCAGGCTCGAAGCCCGTCTACGTTCCAAGAGCAGATCTTGAGGGTGGCCGACTTGCCGCTGGGCGCCGTCTTCTGATCCGGGGGGTCGTCGTACAGGGCCGGCCCCTCCCCGGCTGCCTCTTTTTCGCTTTTCTTGGCTGCACTCTTGCTCTTCTTGGCTTCCGGCTCTTAAAGATAAAGAACAGACGAGAAACGGGCGCTGCGCGGGGCCCCGCCGAGGGGCTGGAAGCCCCGACCCCGCCGGGCCCCGCCGAGACGCTGCGGGGCTGCGGCCTCTGCACCCGCTGCGCCAACCTCCGTCCGCCGAGGGGCCCGACGGCCAGCCGCCTGCACGGCCGGGGCCCCGGGGCTCTTACCCGGCCCGGGCTGCTCGCCGTCCTCCGCCGCGGCCTTCTTCCCCCGCTTCGGCATCACTGAGCCCCACGGCCTCCTGAGCGCGTCCCGCGCCGCCCACCGGAGCAGGGTCTGCACCGCGTGACCTGCAGGCGAAACGGCGTCGTGCACCGGGTGAGCGCGAGGGCGAGGCCGGGCCCCCGCTGGCCCGCTCCCGGCGCCCTTCCCCGCCCCCCGCGCCGCAGGCCGCGGAGCCCCGAGCCCCCGAGCATCCCGGGCCTCCGGGGCCGTCCGCGCGAGCGCTGCCTTCCGGCCGATCGAGGCCCGGAGCTAGGGCCCGGGCGCCCCCGTGGCTACCCCGCGGCTGACCTGGTAGGGCCGCGGCCCGGTGCTCCTCGCCCGACACAAAGACTGGGGCGCGCTCAGCCCCCACGTGGGCGACCCGGGCGGTCACGTGAGCCGGGCCGGCCCGCCTCGGGCGGGGACTGTGCGTGATTGGGTCGTCGGGGACACGTGACGCCGAGGCCCCGCCCCCGCCGAGGCCCCCGCCTTCCACCCGGGGCTGTTCACGGATGTGCCGGACGCGCGCCTCCCGCCGCCGCGGGGAAGCAGAAGGGAGCGGAAGAAGCCCGCGGGGAGGGAGGAGGTGGGGGGGGAGGGGGCGGGCCCCGGCGGGAAGCGGGGCGGGGCCACACTGGGAGGAGCGGACGCGCTCCGGGCCCGGCAGCTGGGAGGGCGGGTCCCTAGGGGGCCTCGGCTTCCGGCCGCGTGCGCCCGGGGGCTCCGCGCAGGCGCGGCCATGCCGGCGGTGCTGGGCCTGGAGGGCAGCGCCAACAAGGTCGGCGTGGGGGTGGTGCGCGATGGCGCGGTGCTGGCGAACCCGCGGCGGACCTACGTCACGCCCCCGGGCACAGGTGCGCGCGGGCCCCGCGGCCGGGCCGGGCGGGGAGGTGGGCGCCGCTCCACGGTCGCCGCGGGAGCCACACCGGGCGGGGCGGGGGGCGGGGCGACGGGCGGGGCGACGGGCGGAGTGGTGGGTGGGGCAACGGGCGGGGGCGGGGCGACGGGCAGAGTGATGGGCAGGGCCGGCGATGGGCAGGCAGGGTGATAGGGCGATGGGCAGGAGGATGGGCAGGCGGGGTGATGGGCAGGGCGGGCGATGGCCAGGGCGATGGGCAGGTGGGGTGATGGGCAGGAGGATGGGCAGGTGGGGGGATGGGCAGGGCGATGGGCAGGGCGCTCGATGGCCAGGGCGTTGGGCAGGCAGCTTCCCCCAGGTGGCCGGGAGGGTTAGGAGCAGGGGCATTCGCGGTCATCAGTACGTGACTTGGACTCGTGATTCCTGCTCTTAAGATGCAGATGGCAACGCCTCATTGTTGGGTCTCGAGAGCGGACGGGAGCACAGAACATAGCACAAATTTTAACCAACATTGTTCCTAAGTTTCCATGTTGTCCTTCGCTCTCCCTTAAACTCCTGCACTTATGGGAAAAGACGAGTTTAGTGCATGTACCTGGAAAGCCTCTCTGAAGCGCCCTGTTACGGTGGGGGGGCTCGCTAGGAAACAGGACTTTGTTCTGCGTTCGCTCTTCCAGGTAGTTTTGGCCCCCGGAGCACGGAGTTAGGGTAGGCAGCGTTTTATGATGCTCTGATTGTAATCTATCTAATGTTGCGTGAAGGACCACGATGTGGTCGCGTGGGGCCTCTAGGGCCGCAGAGAAGGTCACCAAAGGGCAGGACGTAGGTAGGCACCACTGGAACGGAGTCCTGAAGGCGGCGTAGGAGTTGGGTTTGAAGAAGGGCCTTCCTGAGAGCTGGTCGGCCTCGCCAGGGGCTCGGGAGCGTGCATCCGAGAACCTGGAAGACAGGATGCTTGAGGAGAGTGGAAGGGACTTTTCCCACGCTTTGTAGACGCTAAAAGCCACACAGCCCTCTGTTTTCCCGGTAAAATGGGTTTATTCAGGAGTAGTAGAGGATGGCAATTTGGATCCGGGAAGCTGTGGCAAGACCATAGGCAAGTCCAGAGAACAAGCAGAAGGACTGATCTTTTACAGGGAGGACGGGGTCGTTGGGAGGGGCTGTGATTATAAAAAGGTCATTGACGGGGCAGCTGCCTGGCTTGGTCAGAAGTGTGTGACTTTTGATCTCGAGGTCGTGAGTTGGAGCCCCGTGTTGAGTTAAATAGAGATTATTTAAATAAATAAGACTTAAAAAAAAACCTTAAAAAGTGCATTGAGATAAACTGAGAGTATCAAGTGCAGTTGCTTTTCATTGGCTGGAAAATCTTTTCCTCTTGCTGGGGTGTGGAGTTAGAGGCTTCTTCCTGTCGGGGATGCAAGGTATTCCTCTTGCCATTGGGATCTGCAGTTGAGAGGGAGCGGCTGGATATGAAAGCCTCCCCTTTTGGCCTCCTGACTCCATTTTAGAGACGATTTCTTTTATTCAGTGTCGCAGCTACTGAAACCCCTGCGTTTGGCTTCCGCCTACCTTTGCTACAGGAAAACCCCGTAATCTGTGGCCTGCGTCTATCCCTAGGGTTCCTTCCAGGGGATACTGCTAGGCATCACCGGGCGGTTATCCTGGACCTGCTACAGGAGGCGCTCACAGAGGCTGGACTGACATCCCAGGAGATCGACTGCATTGCCTACACCAAAGGTACAGCTGGGAGAGCAGCTGACAGCAGAAATATATACCTGGGGCCTGGCTAGGTCCAGCCTGACGCTGCACCCCGCTGCCCCCTCAACCCCCTGCCCTACCTCTCACATCCCTCACTTTCCCGGCTGTATTTTTCCCAGCATCCTTAGGAACCTGACTCTCGTTTTTGTTCCCCTAGGCCCTGGCATGGGTGCCCCGCTGGTTTCCGTGGCTGTTGTGGCCCGTACTGTGGCCCAGCTGTGGAACAAGCCATTGCTGGGCGTCAACCACTGTATAGGCCACATTGAGATGGGTCGCCTCATCACCGGAGCCACCAGCCCGACTGTGCTATATGTCAGCGGAGGAAACACGCAGGTACTTGGAGGACTCCTTCCTGCCCCCCTCATTTCCAGGGCACTGTGCCAGCAGCTCCCATGTCATCCCTCATCTGAACCTAAAACCTCACGTGCTGGAAAACCACAAAAAAGTTGGCGTCCTTGCAGATTTGGGTGAGATGGTCACTGTGTTAGATGATTCTTAGACGTGTGGCGCTAAAGAGAACTTTCCAATTTCAAAAAAGAATAGGAAGGAGTGAGGCCTTTAAACTAACAAAAGAAAAAAAATAAAGTAATGAAAGGGTTTTTACTTTTATTATTTTGGAACTTATCTTTTCTCTGTGTCTTAGCAGTTAAAACTAAGGGGAAAAAAAACAACTAAGGGGCACCGTGATTTGTTTATTTATGATAATTGCATGTTTTGTCTGCGTTCCTGGGGGTAAATAAACAAGTTCTCCCAAGAGTGTGCAAACATAGGTAATTTCAAGAATGCTTTGCAAGTAGCAGAGGGCGTTGTAGGTTTATAGGGGAAGGCAGAGTGGCTCGGGGTATCTTACAGAACCTTTTGAGGTGGTGATTGGAGAACGCCAGCCTTCCTTTCCTGCAGAACACCTGATGGGGTTACTGTCAGAAAAAGTCCTCGTCCCCAGCTTATGAAAGGCTTAGAATTTCATTTTGCAAAATAGTTACTTAGGATGAAGCACCGCTTCCCATGAAAATGATGTGGGAACTTTTACAGATAGAAGGCATATAGCTGGCTGGGGCCTGAAGGGTGACTCACAAAATTAGGGACTTGGCTCGTGGAAAGTAGCAGGTAAGGAAGAGGAGCGGTGATGGTTTGCTCATTCTCTGACCTCTTAAGACCTGTGTGGGTGGGAAAACGAGGGAAGATGGTTGGGGAGACGAGCAGACGACAGGCGCAGAGAGGCAGGGTTTGTTTCCTTCCCCTTCCGTTGCCAGCCTTTTAACGGCAGAGTTCGGTCTACCCCAGAGTGGAGGGAGACCCTTAGCACCAGAAAGGGAAAGGGACTTATTAGGGTCTCGAGGAAGCGCCCACTGTTGGAAGCATACGGGTCAGTGGGCGGTAAATATTCTATGCGGTAAAAGTCGGTCAGACGTGCAGAATGAACGTAAGCTGATGACCACGCAGAGCTGGGCGTCCCGTGAGCGTGACCCTATATGGGGTTTTCCAGTTTTTTTTGTTTTTTTTTTTTTGGGTTTTCCAGTTTTTGAACTCTGCTACTCATCTGGTTTCCAGATGGCACTGCCCGGGTAGGATGACCTAGAAGGACTGGTTCCCTGCCCCCGGCCCGAAAGCCCGTTCCTAGTCCATGCTATCCAGAGGTCTTTCAAGGACATACTAGGAACCTCCAAGCTAGGAAGACGTATTCGAGACGAGAGTTGCTTCTGCCCCGGCCGAGGCTGCCTTCTGTAGGTTAGGAATCTGCTCTGGGAATCCTCAGATTCCCAGGCTTTTGAGAGGAGAGTGTGAGAAAGTCCCTCTGCAGGGTGCGGGTGAGTGCTTTTGTTCTGTCTCTTACGGGAAGCTGCCAAGGCCCGTTGATTCTCTGCTATACTCCTCCCCGAAGCCAAATACTCCTCTTTACAGACGCGAGGTTTCACGGACACCCTCCTCACCCTTAGGTGATCGCATACTCAGAACGTCGCTACCGCATCTTTGGGGAAACCATCGACATCGCCGTGGGGAATTGTCTGGATCGTTTTGCTCGAGTGCTGAAGGTGAGTGACTGGGGCTGGGGAAACAGAAGGTGCGGGTGGGTTTCTGGGGAGCCGTGGAAGTGGAGGGAGAATGGAGGAAGTTAGCTTCTTAGGCTTCCTGGATATCTGACTCCATCCTCTTTTTCCCTCTGCTAGATTTCCAATGACCCAAGTCCAGGCTACAATATCGAGCAGATGGCAAAGCGGTAAGGGCCGCAAGTTGGGAGGAGGCTGGCTGTAGGGCTTCCAGGATTCCCCTAGGAGCGTTAAGGAGGTTGGGTGGCTTTGAAGGCTTAGCGTCTCAAACGCTCACTCCCACGTAGAGGCAAGAAGCTGGTTGAGCTGCCCTATACCGTAAAGGGGATGGATGTCTCGTTCTCGGGGATCCTGTCTTTCATAGAGGTGAGTGTGGGGCAGGGGAGGACAGCGCTGTCCTGCTCTTTAACGAGGCGTACGTTTGGTTCACCATCGTCTCTCTTGCCTAGAGTGTGGTTCTGGTCTACGCTGGATGCTGAGTAAATCCATTTAGCGAGTATTTATTAAATGTCTTCTGTGTGCCTGGCAATGTTCTGGGCAGTAGCCTAATTCTCGTGTGCGCGTGTGTGAGACAGAGACAGAGGAGTTGGTGGGGGAGGGTAGTAATAACATAAAAAGGGTCCGGTGGTGACAAGCGTCACGGAGGAAAGCGAAGCTGAGTGAGGGGCTGGGGGGGCAGTGGGGCCAGGGCGGGCTGTAACTGGAGCCCCGATGCCTGTGGCCGTCGCTCAGCGCAGTGCCGGTGAGAGGCTGGGCGTGGGGTGGACGTGCCACTACGCTGGGTTGGGGTGAGCCGCGGCCCTCCAGGTGCCCTGAGCCTTGCTGTCTGGTCATCCCCAGACCGCAGTTCCCTGTCTCACCTGTGTTTTCTTTGCTCGTAGGATGCCGCCCAGCGCATGCTGGCCACAGGCGAGTGCACGCCTGAGGATTTGTGTTTCTCTCTGCAGGTAATGGGACAGAGCGTTGGGCGTGGGGGGACTTGTATGTAGCAGAATGATGCTGAGACTCCGTCCTCACCTTCTCTGTGCCCCGCAGGAGACTGTGTTTGCCATGCTGGTCGAGATCACAGAGCGAGCTATGGCACATTGCGGCTCCCAGGAGGCCCTCATCGTGGGAGGTGTGGGCTGTATGTATCGTCCAACCACGCTCCTCTTTCCTACTCCTGGGCATTAGCATTCTCCTCCCTAAATCTAAGGGTCTGGGGAAATGACAAGTTTCTGCTTCCCAGCCCTTGCCCCCTGAACGCCTGCTTCATTTTTGTGAGTCACACGCCTGAGCTACAGCCGGACCTCGCAGAAAGGGCTGAAGCCGAGCCAGCCCTAACCCTCCCTCCTCATAGGTAATTTGAGGCTACAGGAGATGATGGAGACCATGTGCCAGGAACGTGGGGCCCGGCTTTTTGCCACAGACGAGAGGTGAAGGCCCTTCCCCTGTGTTGGTTTCTTTTTTTTTTCTCCAATACTGTGATTTTCTACCCTTAGTTCCCAAATTCCATGTCTCGTTTCCTTCCCAGATTTTGCATTGACAACGGGGCCATGATAGCCCAGGCCGGCTGGGAGATGTTTCGGGCAGGGCACAGGACCCCCCTCAGTGACTCTGGGATCACGCAGAGGTGGATACCCTCCTGGGGGGGCAGTGGGTTATGTGGGAGGGAGGCAGAAATCAGCTGGCGGAGGGCCCAGAATCATGGGGGCAGGGGAATGGGGGGCTCTCAGGGCTCCCAGCGAGTCTTCTGTGCTGCTTCACAGGTACCGGACAGATGAAGTGGAAGTGACCTGGAGGGACTAACAGGGAGCAGATAGCAGCCTCTGGGAGCCTGCGGGAGCCGGGCCTGCTCTCCATCCCGGCCTGGGTGCTCCTGGCCCACATCATCTGAACCTCAAGTTGACTCCGCAATAAAATAGTTCTGGTTTTGTATGTTAGTAACTGGCTCGTGTGAACGAGGAGTGATCTGGAGTCGGCACCGGCTAAACTCTTGTTGGGCCGTGTGGACAGGGAGGAAGGAGGGCCAGAGCAGGGCCGCGGCTGCGTGCACAGGGGTGCGGCTGGGGAGCTCAGGGGGGAGGGCCAGAGCAGGGGTGTGGCTGGGGAGCTCAGTGGGGAGGGCTAGAGCAGGGGTGCGGCTCGGGAGCTCGGCCTGAGGCTCTGTCCTCTGAGAGCCGTAACTGTGGTGCCCTAACCGGCAGCCAGTTGTGCCCTGCTCTGGGCTGCCTGATTGTGTTGCTCACGGCGCTGTGCTGCTGTAGGAGCCCAGAACTCCCGCGGGGGCAGCCTGAGCCAGCTGGCACGCTACTGGCTTGTGCCTCCAGCAGGACTGTGCTCCCAGCACCCACGTGCAGGCCTGCGGGGTCCCCCGAGCCCCTGGCTGCTGGCTCACGGGTCCTCCTGCCCTTTACCTCTCCTGTCCATCACAAGTCCCCAGTGACCGCGTCCCCTCCTAGTGCTGCGCTCCAGTGACCCTTCTCTCCACCCCTTCTTCCTCCTGGAATCCTGTGCAACCTGGAGCTATGAGCTGGCAATCAGTAAAGTCATCTCTTTTCTCCATGTCTTGTCTTTTTCAAATTTATTTAAGATTTTATTTATTTGACAGGTAGAGAACAACAGGGCAAATGGCAGAGGGAGAGGCAGGCTCCCCGCCGGGCTGGGAGACCCCCGGGATCACGACGTGGGGACGGAGTGAAGGCACACAGCCGCTCAACCACCTGAGCCCCCGCCCCGCCCCGAGCCTGGGCCCCAGGACTGCATTGCTCCCACGGCCTCTGCTGGGGCTGCTGTCTCGCCCCTGCCCCCACCCCCGCCGTACCGCTGACCCTGGGGGGTGGCCGTCCTCGCTCCCCCCGAGCTGAGTTCAGTCTGGGCCCACGCCTCCCGACCACACAGCTTAGGGACCCGGGTCCTAAGGGTCTCTGAGGTCAAGGGCCACCACCCCCACCTGTCAGGTCTCCATCCTAGGACCCGCGGGGGTCCCTGTCCTCTGCGCTCTGGTCTCGGCTCACTCTGGTCTCGGCTCGTGCCCCTCCCGGGACCTCGGCCTGCACCCCGATGGCGGCACTCGTTCCCTGGGTCCTGGTCTAGACTGTGGCTCCTCCGTATCCCCATGTCCGACATCCGCTGTCTTTCCAGCTCTCCCCTTACTGCGCTGGATCCAGCAGCTCGTCTCTTGGTTGGGCCCTCCAGTCTGTGGGCCTCCCCTCCGCTGGCCTCATCGCCTGTGTGTCTTCATTTGCCTCCAGCTGAATCCCAGTCCTGAGCCTTCACGGTGGGCACCTTGCCTCCGCTGCCCCCTGCTCTGGTGCTGCTCTGAGTCTCCCCAGGCTCAATTCCTGGGGCCGCGCAGCTGGAGGGGCTACATGCCAGGCCCCGCCTCGTGCTTAAATCCATCATCCTCAGCTGGTCCCTAGCCCTCTCACTCTCCCTCTTCTCAATACTTGTTTTATACCTTCTGGCCCCTCAAATCTGTATCTGCCCCGATCCTCACGCTTCCTTCATCTCCTATTTTGGTGAGAAGATAGAAGCAGCCAGAGCACCGACGGGCCCTCCCCGTGACATCTAACCACCTTCCAGTACTCGCTGCCCTCGGCTGCCCGTTAGCAGCATCCTGGTACTACCTCCGGCTACCCGGTCAGCTGGGCTCCATCTGGCTCCGCAGAGAACGGCTGTTGTCACATCTGGGAGGCAGGTGGGGCTGCTGGGAGGGGCTGGGGAGGCCCCAAAGGGCCCTGCAGGGTAGAGAATAGCTCCCCGCACAGAATTCCCTAGGCCCAGACGGCAGTGGTGTCAAGGTTGAGAGACCGCTATCAATACCCCATCCTGGGCGCCTGGGTGGCTAAGCAGCCAGGCGTCAGCCTTCCGCTCAGGTCCTGATTCCAGGGTCCCAGGATCGAGTCCCGCGTTGGGCCCCCTGCCCTGCAGGGAGCCTGCCTCTCCCTCTGCCTGGGCCTCTGCCTGTCTCTCTCTCTGTTTCTCATGAATAAATAAATAAAATCTTAAAAAAAAAAAACAAAAACCTGTCCATGCTCCCATCCAACAACTATGGTCAATCCCATCCCTCCAGCCCTTCAGGACACCTTTCAACAGTTTTCTCTCCTTTTCTGCAGAGCCACCATTTCCCTTTCTTTCCTAGATCTTCCTCTCAGCACATGGATACACCATCATCGTCCTCATTTTACAGACGTGGGCTCCTCGTGGCTCCATTTCCCCTTTCAGTGGCTTCCTGTTTTTCTGCTCCACTTTATAACAAGACATTTTAGACATTTTCAAACTGTCCTTTCCGATTCTCTGCCCCGGCTCCCTGCTAAGGCCGCTCTCCGCACCGTCCCCAGGGGCTTGACACAGCCGCCCTACGGCGCTCCCCGCGCACCCCACACAGCTGGTCCACGGCGTCTCACGCTCCCTCCTGAGACATTTTCTTTACCTGGCTCTAGACCATGCTCTCTGTTTCGCCTCTTACTTTACCGACCGCTCTTTCTTCGTCTGGTTTGCTGTTTTCTCCTCATTTCCCCAAACTAGGGTTTGGTCCTTGGACCACTCCTCTATTTACACACATACCTTCAGTGATTTTATCCACTTTCATACATTAAAACCGTTTCTAAATAATAAATAATAAATACATACATATATACAAACAAACCATTTCAAGGTGGGTGACTCCCAATTTTTTAGCTCTAACCTAGACTTCTGCTCTGAACATCTAGCTGTCGATGGGCATCTCAACCTGGGTGCCTAACAGACCTCTCAAACTTAACACACACAAAACAACCTTGTTTCTCCCCTTCCTCCAGCGGTAGACCTCCCTATGTCAGTGAATGACAACCCCGTCCCAGTTGCTCGCATCAAAAGCGCCCTGGTGTCTCAGACACCTCTTCTCCTCTCCGCCGGGTCATCAAGTCGCACGGACCTTGTCTTCACGTATATCCCAGATCCCATTTCTTCTTTCTTGCAGTGCTGCCCCCCTGGACGTAGCCAGGAGCCTCCCCGGGGTTACGGCAGGAGTTGCTGTGTCCCCTCCTACGAGCCTCCACTCAGAGGCAGCTCCCAGCACAGCAGCCGAGGGAACCACGTTCCCGGAGAAGCTGGACGCTGTCACCCTGTTGCTCAAGACCCTCCGTGTCTTCCTGTTCCGAGTGAAAGCGAGAGCAGGAGGCCTGGAGACCCTCCGTGACCCTCCCCGCCCGCCCCACTTACTGCTTCGATCTCACTGCCTGCTTGTTGGCTCTGCTCCAGCAGCAGTGGCCTGTTTCTCCCGAATCGCTGACTGTGCACTGACACCTCCAGGTCCTCACACTGGGTGCTCCTGCCTGCGAAGCTCGTCCGTCAGCTGGAGCTTGCTCGTCAGCCTCATAATCTTTAAGTCTTTGTTCAACGTGTTTTCTTTTTTCAGGGAGGCTTTCCTGACAACCCTACTTAGAATTGCACTCTTCCAGCACTTTCTAGCCCCCTTCCCGGTTTTATTTCTCTTCGTAGCACTTACCACTGTGTAATCCTGTAGTTCTGTGCTCATGGTTTGACTCCTTCCTTTAGAATACAAACTCCATGAGGCCAAGGGATTTTCATCATGTTCTATTCATTGCCGTATAACCTCCCTAAATTCTCCCGCTTAGAATAGGGTGGACACTCGGCATTTGCCGAATGAATAAATAAATCGATGCAGGGGTAACCCAAAGAGACAACCAAAGGCTATAAAGTAAGACTTGGGTCAAAAGATAAAAAGAATTGGGATTTTTTAAAAAGATTAATGTATTTATTTATGATAGACAGAGAGAGAGAGAGGCAGAGACACAGGAGGAGGGAGAAGCAGGCTCCATGCAGGGAGCACGATTCGGGACTCGATCCCCAAACTCCAGGATCGTGCCCTGGGCCAAAGGCAGGCGCCAAACCTCTGAGCCACCCAGGGATCCCCTAAAAGAATTGGGATTATGTGCACTTGGGAAAAGAGGAGCTTTCTGGTGACTTACTAAGTAGAAAGTGCTGATTAACACTTTTTTTCAGTGACGAAGGATAGACCCATAAATAGGTTGAAGATTCACTAAGACCTGGATGTTTACAATCAGAAATTTTGGGATGAGGAATCCCTGGGTGGCTCAGAGGAATCCCTGGGTGGCTCGAATCCCACGTCGGGCTCCCGGTGCATGGAGCCTGCTTCTCCCTCTGCCTATGTCTCTGCCTCTCTCTCTCTCTCTCTCTCTCTCTCTCTCTATCATAAATAAAAATTTTTAAAAAAGCATAGAGGTTTTAAAAAAAATCCCAGTTATTAAAAAAAAAGAAATTTTGGGATGGAAGATAGAGTGTTTGGGATTTAAATAGAAAGATGAATTCCTGTCCTTGAATATATTTGAGAGCAAGAATGAGCTCGTCTAGGTCTGGGAAATTAGTTTTATAAATGGGAATCAAGCATGTTATCAGGTATTAGCCTCAGGTATTTGTAAGTTTTTTTTTTTAAGATTTTATTTATTTATTCATGAGACACACACACAGAGAGAGAGAGAAAGAGAGAGGCAGAGACACAGAGGGAGAAGCAGGCTCCATGCAGGGAGCCCGATGCGGGACTCGATCCCGGGACCCCAGGATCATGCCCTGGGCCGAAGGCAGCCGCTCAACCACTGAGCCACCCGGGCTGCCCTATTTGTAAGTTTTTATTCATATTGTGGGATGGAATGGATCTTGGAGGGAGAACCTTCTTTAGCACCATAGACCCAGCTGGTACCTTAGTGGGACACTAACTTCTTTAGGCAGCTTTGGGTTCTTGGTGGAGGCTTCTCAAGATAGCCTCACAGTTTGTAAAACCAAAAGACTAAAATCATGGCTCCTTGGTTCCTAAATCGTGGCCCTCTCCTCTGTCGGTCTCTCCCGAGTGTCTTATTGGCGGCGCGGGGTCAGTGTGTCCTGCTGACGTGCATGAACGATGGTGGCGGATTGAGGCCCCGGACAGCATCCAGCAGCGTCTTGTCCAGGGCCCCGGGGCTGGCTGGCTGCAGGCCCGGAGGCGGGCTCCTGTTACAGAGGGCACTGTGGGGCAGGGAGCCTGCTCCTCGACCTCGCCCGGGGCTAGCTCTGCCCCTGGGATCTCTGCTCTGTGGCTTGGGATTTCCCCAGACGCATGAGGGTGGCATCCCGGGGCTATTGCCATAGGACTTGATGAAGGTATGTGCCGCTCGAACACACAGGTGGGGAGAATGAGCAGAGGACGGGTGGGCGCCGCGGTCATTCCTACTGGTCAATCTCCCCTCCTGCTGCCTCCTTCCTGCGCCCTGCGTTTGACCCCCTGTGAGCCACCCCGGGCTGCCCAGTTCTGGACTTTTTTTGGGCGTCAGCCTCCCGCTGTGGGATGGCAAACAGGAGGCAGATGGGAGAGAGAGACCCTCCCCAAGTTTTGCCTTGTGTTGAGGCAGACTTTGAATTTTGCTACGGGAGCTTGGACTCTTCAACCCCAGGCAACCCCAGGCATCACCTCTCTAAAGTGCCATCTAGCTCCTGGCTGCTGACACGGAGCCCTCCCGTACTCTTCCACCTCCAGAAACCTTGCTCGTAGGATGGCCCTAGACTCCCCCTACATCTACTTTTTCCACCAAGGCTCTTGGTGAGATACCAACTACTGGGAAGACTTGGGGGGTTGAACCAAAGCAGGAAAAAGGGCAGAGGACAGAATGGCACTGAGACATCAGGGCTGGGGGCGGACCCCACGCTCCTGGCCCATGGAGAAGGGGGGTTAGAGGCAGAAATCAATGCGTCGCAGAAGCGCTGCATCCCGTCCTATTTTCAACTGGCTTTCCTCGAAGTCGCGGACATATTAAATTCTCTCCCGTCTTTGAAGGTTTTACTCCACCCACGTGAATTCCCTTAAGTCACTACTGGTTTTTGAGCAATGGGCTGGGTAAGGTTTGCCTCTTCTCCTTTCACCACCTGTACGTCAGCCCTCAGAGGCAGAAGCCAGGGCTCCGGGCCATTCTCACAGAAGGGCTGGAATGGGGCCCCCGGCCACCTCAGCCATTGAGCGTCTGCCTTCGGGTCGGGCGTGATCCCAGGGTCCCGGGATCGAGTCCCGTGTCGGGCTCCCCGCAGGGAGCCTGCATCTCCCTCTGCCTGGGTCCCTGCCTCTCTCTGCGTCTCTCAGGAATAAATAAATAACAATAATAACAAAAGGCTGGAGCGGAGGGCCTTACCCGGTGGCGGGGACGCCCAGGTGAAGTGTGCGCACGTGATGGCTGTAGAGGGTCCTGGACACAGAAGCCGAGTTGCTAGGAGAGAAGGGGGCAGGTGACGACAGCACTTCCTACCTGGGCACGGTTCTCACCGCGAGGTCCCCCAGGATCTGGTCCCCATAGGTACCCTGGTAGCTGAGGAGGGGAGATGGAAAACATGCCAGAGACTGCCCTCTGGACACCCCACCATGGGACTGTATTTCCCAAGAAGATGCTATATGTAAAAGAACAGAAAAAAACCCCAAAGAAGCAAGTGGCCTTGGGCTGCTGGTGGCCAAATGGGAGGATTGGGAAGATGACCTGGGCCGGGAGAGCCGTGTCTCTCTCTCTCTCTCTCTCTCTCTCTCTCTCTCTCTCACACACACACACACACACACACACACACACACACAGAGTGAGGGCAGGGGAGGAAGGACTCCTCCTCCTCCTCACTCCTCCCTCCCACCCTCTAAGTTCCCTTTCCCATCAGCCTCTCCCCACAGAGGAGTCTAGCCAAACGGCGTCCTTTTCCTCTGGCCTCAAACTGCAAAGTGTCCCTTCCCCTGCCAGGGGGGTGACCTCCAGATGGTGAGTATCTGGAAGAGGAAATGGCATCCCTGCCTATGGTCCCGCCTGGGGCTCTGTCCCTGGAAGAGCCGGTGCGTGGAGCAGTTCCAGCAAAGCTGTTCAGTGCCGGGCTGAGTCCCCGAGAACCCGCTGTGCCAGTGAGACACACGCACAGGCGCACACGGGCGTGCACACGGCAGCTGGGTCCTGCAGATCTGCGCACTGTCGCCGCCGTCCCCCCTCGGCTGCCCGGCCCTGCCTGCGGCCTCGCCCCACGCCAGCCGGTGGGAAGCGCAGGAGGATGGGGTGGATGAGCAGTGCCCCCCCCCTCCGACCGGTTCCACTAGGCGGCTGCGCCCCTGGCCCCGCAGGGCCCACACCAGGCGGTGGCCACCGGGACGTTCCCCGCTGATGTGATGCCTCCCCGGTTCCTAAGACGGCAGCCGACGTGGGGGCGCGAGCCGAGCCAGGAGCATCGAGCATCGTGGGCAGCAGCGGGGCGGGAAGATCTCCGCGAGGCTGCCTTGTGACGGAGCGTTGCTGTGGTGACAGTGACAGGGATTCCGGGGGAGCCCCAGCTCCTGACCCAGGCGGGCAGGGAGGGGGCACCGGCTGCCGGGGTGGGGAGGTTCCGCGCGGCTCGCACCCAGGTCCTTAGGGAGCAGAGCGCCGGTCCCGGCCCGTTGGCCTGTCAGGGCCACCTCTGCAGCCGGACCAATCCCTTTAGGGGCCGGGACCCACCCCAGCAGCCCCGCCTGTCCTGCTCCAGGGTGGGGGGGGGTCGCATCACTGCCCCTTCCCTGGATCTTCCCCGGGAAGACATCCAGAACCGCAGCAGAAAACACCCTGATGCAGGGGCCCCGCCTCGAGGTGAGAAAGAGGAGTCATGGGGCAGAGGGAGCGCCGTTTCCTCCGCCTCCGTGACCATGCTTGCCGGCCCCGCAGGACTTTGGTCCTGGCAGCAGCGGAGATCACCCCACGCCACCCTGTCCGGTCCTCCCCCCAGAGCCCGTGGGGTGGTGAGACAGCTGCAGACCGTGGGTTTGGGCCTCCCTTTCACCCTTTCTCACGCAGACACCCCTCGGGACAGCGAGGAAGCCGCAGTCCAGGTGGATCGCAGGCGGCCCGCAGCCCCGGCTCCTCCCCTCCGGCCCGGGGACCAGCCTGTGCACAGGACACTGGCGGGCAGCCAGGGCCTGGGACTGACCCCAAACCCTCCCTCCCCTCTTCTGGCCCCTGCACAGCCCAGGCTCCCCCCCCCCCGCCCCCCACCCCCCCTCCCCGGTCACTCACCCAGCCTGTCCCTCCTGTCCTTTCCCGTATCCTCCTTGGCTTTGGAATTGGCCACTCAGCAGGACAGCCCTACAGGTGGAAGGGGGGAGGAGGGCATCTGGGGACGAGGCCGGGGGATTGGGTGTCAGAGATTGGGCACCCAGAGCCCAGCCCCCGAGCCCGCCAGCACCTGCTATAATTAGTCGGGTGGGGCCGCTGACCCGGTGAGGGGCAAGTTCTCTCTGCCACCCAGTCCAAGCTGAGAAGGTTCCACTGCGAGTCAGGGGAGCGCCGGTGTCTTGGGAGGGTGGCGATCGGGTACGATGGTGGCAAGTCAGGCGGGACACGGGCCCGGCACTGGATCTGTACATGTGCTTCCCGCATGCTTTGCTGCCCTTGGTGAATCCCAGAGTTGGGCGTAGGGCCAGGCTGTCGGGGCCTGGGGACGAGTTGGGGGGAGAGCATGGGTGCCAGGGCCTGGGTGCGGGGTGGGGGCTGAGCCTGGGTGCTGGGGCCTGGGGCCAGGGA